GCGAGATAGTCAAGCTTAGGGCTCTCGACATCTCCTCTTTTCTTATTTAGAAAATTGACCATCAATTGTTGGTGCTCTTTTTAAGGGGTGACAGAGGCTCTGTTCCTCTAAGGGCCCAGGGTTTTTCTCCGCTCAGAGAGAGCGTCCTCACTCGGGGAGGGGAATTTTACAGGCCTTGGCATGTTTTTTGAGGAGACGGCTTGTGGGTATGCATGCCAACCGTCATGCACCAGAGCTTGCCACTCAGGGGTCTTGGGTTTTGGGATCTCGTGGATCCATCCCCCTGCAGTCTTACCGGCACCCTTGATTAGAGCATTTTTTCTTCCTCCCATAGGTGGATCCTCCCCCAAGCGGAGGAGCCTCTAGGAGGAGGGGCGAACCTATCCCTTATGGCAATAGGTCTTGCCCGTTGAATGGTCAGGAGTTATGAATAAGGAGAAGGGTTTTCTAAATAAGAAAAAGGAAAGGGGGTGGGGGTTCCCACTGGAACAAGCTCATGGCAAAACACTAATTAAAAGCCTGGGGTAAATCCTAGACCTCAATGCCGAGGGTGATGGTGATGAACCTGTATGGGCTTAGAAGACAAGAGATTAATCTGTTATTTAATAAATTCAAACAGGAAGGTCCAAGTCTGGAGTTCTAGCTGCATCTGTAAGAGAAAAGGCATCATCCTCGGGGGTGGGGGGGAGGTTTCCCCAGAGTTGTGGTAAGCCATTCACCTGTTTTATCAAGTGTTCTGGCAGCCACCTTGGGGCCGCTTGATCTAAAAGACAAAGAGTGGCAGGGAGTGGTCTACCAGTAGCTTGAGAGGGCATCGCCCCTTGGCTTTGTTTGTGGACAGGACATTCCCGTGCAAAATGGCCAGGTTGTTTACAATTTAAACAAGTACAGGAGCCAGGGACTGAACCTTGAAATGCCTTGGTAAAGGCAGCGCCTATGGCGAGTCCCATGGCATGGGCGGTCCCTACTCCAGCACAAAGCCTGAGGAACTCAGAGAGGTCACCCTTGTTTTTATGTGGTCGGAGAACATCTTGACATGCTCTGTTAGCATTTTCAAAGGCAAGATGTTTAACAAAGGCACTTTCACTTTCACTAGCCCCAAGAAGCCTTTCCGCAGCCAAGTTAAGCCGCGAGACAAAGTCACTGTAGGGTTCCTCTGGCCCCTGTCTAACCTTTGCCAGGGAAATAGTAGCCAATCCCTTTTGAGGGAGACGCTTCCAAGCATAAAGGCCAGCGTTTTGAATTTGTGCCAAAAGTCCGGTAGGAAAACGCACCTATTTAACATTGGTATCAAAGGGCGCATTACCCAAAAGTTTAGTATAGGTCCAGGTTTTTGAAGATGTTTCAGCCAAATTTTTTTGGGCGGTCTCTCTACATTGTTCCTTAAAGTCCGCATTCCATAAAACAAAATCACCCCCACTAAGGGTGGCGTGGGCCAGAAACTTCCAATCATTAGGGGTGAGCCAGCGCACACTTTGGTTCTCTAACAAGGCTAACGTATAAGGGGCAGTCGGGCCATATTGGGCACATGCATTTTTAAGTTTTTCAACAAACCGAAGGCTAAGCCTCTTCTACTCTTGTTGGCCTTTTCTCTGGGTGGGTTGTTCCTCTTCATCCCCAGTATCCTGCTCTTCATCCTCCTTTTCCTCCTCTTCTGATTCGTCCTCCTCACCCTCTGAGGTCCTATCTGTCTGGCTTCGAGTTACTGGAAAGGCGAGGACTGATTGATGGCGTGATCTAACCTTAATTTTATCAGGCGGTTTTGGCGTATCAGCCAAGGCCAGTGTGAGGAGTTCATAATCAAGGGACCGCAGTTCTTTTAAAAGTTGAAGGTGTTCTCGCCTATGTTGAAGGGCCTCGCGTAAAGGGGCCAGGTTAGGTAAAGGCGGGAGAGAAAAACATCTGGATCTGGAGGGCAGTGGGCCCTTGAAGGGCCGGGTCACAAAAGGAAGGGATTTTCAGTAAATTGACCAGCAGTCATATCTAATAGAACCTATGGGCAAGCCGAGGGGGGCCGAGAGGCATTTTGAGGAACCTCCTCTCCTGTTTTTACAAGTTTTAAAATTCTACTATCAAATAGAGAACATTTTAAAACTTCATTAATCAAATTCCAATAGGAAAAGGCCGTAGCAGGAACCTTTTCTGAACCAAAGATTTCATAATAATCTTTTAAACAATCTCCTACTCTTTGCCATCTTTTTGCATCTATGATTCCTACAAGTCCTCTATGAATGAGAAAAATAATTCTAAGTCCTTTTTCTTAACCCATGTTCCCCGTGTCTTGAAGGCCTCCTTGAGGTCTGACAGAAATAGATCATGTGACGAATTGCTTGTCCCATAGTGGGTCACTCACCATGCGTCGTCCCCACTCTCCTCCTGGATCTGTCTCTTGGTGGGGTCAGTCGAGGCGATCTCGGACTGTACTTGGCCAAGTTTTCCGGGAGGACGGCGTTCCTTCCTTAGACAGAGGCTCAGGCCCCACGTTGGGCGCCAGGTGTCCGGACCCGCAGGCGAGAAGGAATGAAGGGACAAGAGACACGAAGACTGACAGCGACAAGGATTCTGATCAAGCTGCCAAATTTTTATTTTTCACACAGGGGTATTTAGATGCTTAGAATAAGGAAGCTTTCTCATTGGCCGTAGCAGCTGCAGGATGTTTGCTTAGGGCAATGTGAAAAGGTGGTCAATAGCAGCTACCTGGTCTTTGTTTGGGGCAGGATGCAAAGACCAGATTCTGTAAATAGCCTTGAGAGATGTTCCAGCGAGATAGTCAAGCTTAGGGCTCCCGACACAAGTGCTCTATCAGTTGAGTCACAGTGCCACTTCTGGTTTTCTGGTGGTTAACTGGAGATCAGAGTGTCATGGACTTTCTTTGCCTGGGCTGGCTTTGAACCATGATCCTCAGATCTCAGCCTCCTCAGTAGCTAGGATTACAGGTGTGAGCCACTGGCACCGGCTATAAATGCATGTTTATGAGTGCATTTTTTGACAGTCTTGGGAAACTCAGGGCCTGGGTGCTGTACCTGAGCCTTTTTGTGCACAAAGCTAGTACTCTACCATTTGAGCCACAGTACCACTTCTGGCATTTTCTGAGTAGTTGATTGGACATAAGAGTCTCATGGACTCTCCTGCCCAGGCTGGCTTTGAACCATGATCCTTAGATCTCAGCCTCCTGAGTAGCTATATATTCATTTTTGTTTGTAAGCAAATTTTTAATTATTCCTTTGTAAATATGTCTTAAGTATTTTGGGTTTATTATAGCTCTCTACATAGCTGCTTATACAAAATTATTTAAAATAAGGGCTGGGAAGGTGGCTCAGTGGTAGAGCACTTGCCTTGCATGCCTGAGGCCCTGGGTTCAGTCCTTAGCACCACATAAGCAAAAAGAAAATAAAAGCTGGAAGTGGCACTGTGGCTCAAGTGGTAGAGCGCTAGCCTTGAGCTGAAGAGCTGAGGGACAGAGCCCAGGCCTAGAGTTCGGGCCCCATGACCGGACCCCCCCCCCCCAAAAAAAAAATTATTTAAAATATTCTTGCCGGGCACTGTTGGCTCACGCCTGTCATCCTAGCTACTCAGGAGGCTGAGATCTGAGGATTGAGGTTCAAAGCCAGCCCGGGCAGGAAAGTCCGTGAGACTCTTATCTCCAGTAAAACCACTAGAAAACCAGAATTGGAGCTGTGGCTCAAGCGGCAGAGCGCTTGCCTTGAACTGAAGAGCACAGGGACAGCACCCAGGCCCAGAGTTCAAGCCCCACGACCGACAAAAAAAAAAAGAAAGAAAGAAAAGGTGTTTGCCTTTCTTCAAGCCTAAAGGACCAGGGAATGAAGGTAGGGAAAAAGCTTCTAGAAGTTTCTAGAAATACCTGGAAATGTCTAGAACTCAGCTGCTGTAGCTGGGAAAAGCCCCCAAAGAGGAGCTGGGTTTTCTGTTGTTGTTGTTGTTTTTGTTTTTGTCAGTTGTGGGGCCTGAACTCTGGGCCTGGGCGCTGTCCCTCAGCTCTTCAGCTCAAGGCTAGCGCTCTACCACTTAAGCCACAGCGCCACTTCCGGCTTTTTTTTCTTTTTGCTTATGTGGTGCTGAGGAATCGAACCCAGGGCCTCATGCATGCAAGGCAAGCGCTCTACCACTGAGCCACCTTCCCAGCCCTGGTTTTTCTTTTTCCTTTTTTTCCTGAAAGGAAGTCTGTCTCCACGTACCCTGCTTTCTTGGGTCCCCAAGAATCAGGGATGGCAAAGAATAAGACAGCTCATTGGTGTAGCCATTAGCCTCCCAAGCCAAGAGTTTCCAAGATCCTCACTGAGTAGTTCGGGGTGGGGGGGGCCTACCCTCCGGGGGGGGGCCCCACCCCCAGCTTGGAGGACCTTCTGCACAAGGCCGGTCCATCCCTCTCGGAACGCCCACCACCTGCAGCGCCTGCATCCGGACACGCCGTCTCTTAGCAACCGACCTCCGGTTGCCATGGAGACCTCCCGGCCTGAGGGCCCCGTAGGCTCGCTGCCGCAGCTCGGGGAGCGAGTGCGCACGCGCGGGCCGCAAAGCCAGCCTCGACCTGGCGCGGCGGTGGTTGAGATCGAGGCCGGATTCCGCGTGATCAGACCTCGTCAGCCCCGGGCGGGAGCTGGGGGGGGCGATCGACAGCTCCCGGGCCCCATCTGCCCTGCGTCCCCCCCCCATCCCCGGAGCCAGCACCCGAGCTGGGCGGCGCGGCCGGTGGCGCAGCATCGCGGCGGAGGAGCCCGGGCGGCCGCGCCTGGGGGAGGGGCGAGGGCCCTTGCGGCGGATCCGCGGACCCGTGTGAGCACCCCGGGGGGTGGGGCGGGGTGGGGAGGACAGCCGGGGGGCTGGGAAGAGGGGGTGATGGGAAAGTGCGCCAGGCCTCCTGCAGCCCCCCACCCCCGCCATCCACGCGTGGGGCCTGGCCGTCCTTCCCAGGGGGGGAGTCTGACCTCTCTGTTCTTATGACCTTGCAGGATTCTTTTCTTGGGGGGTGCGATCAAAGCTCCGCCGCCCCCCCTTCGCCTTCCCCCCTGCCCCCCCTCGGCCGCTCCCAGCGCGCTCCATGTCCGCGGCCATGGCCATGAACCTCCTGGAGGACTGGTGTCGCGGGATGGAAGCGGACATCCACAGGTCCCTGCTGGTCACGGGCATCCCCGAGGACTGCGGCCAAGCGGAGATCGAGGAGACCTTGAACGGGGTCCTGTCCCCCCTGGGCACCTACCGGGTGCTCAACAAGATCTTCCTGCGGGAAGAGAACGCCAAGGCGGCGCTGGTGGAAGTGGGCGCGGGGGTGAACCTGAGCTCGGTGCCCCGCGAGTTCCCGGGCCGGGGCGGCGTGTGGAGGGTGGCCTGCCGGGACCCCACGCAGGACGCCGAGTTCCTGAAAAACCTCAACGAGTTCCTGGATACCGAGGGCCGCACCTGGGAAGACGTGGTCCGCCTCCTGCAGCTCAACCACCCCCCAAGACCCCCAAACCAGCCGGCCGAGAGCTGGGCCGGAGCTTTGGGGGTGCTCCTGGGGGCGGTGGTGCAGATCGTGGTGTATATGGATGCCGAGATGAGGAGCCGAGAGGAAGCCAGGGCGCTGGAGAGCGCGGAGCTGGAGGAGGAGGAGGCCGCCTGGCTCTCCGCGGGGAGGAAGAAGGTCAAGAAGGAGCGGGGTCTCGCCGCAGCCGACCTGGCCTCTGTCCTGAAGAGGGAGCACCCCGCCCACTGGAATGGCCTAGATGGCCAGAGCGACCCCCCTAAACCTTTAGGGCGCCGGGCTGGAGCTAAGTCTCGCTCCAGGAGGAAGAGGAACCGGAGAGCCCACAAGCAGGAGCCGGCGCCTTGGAAGGAATCTGGAGGTGACCATCTTAGCAGCTCAGCCTACTTGTCGGGGGGTCAGATGGGTGACCCCGAAACTATGGAGGTCTCCGAATCCATCAAGAGTCACAAGAAGCCCTGTATAAAGCAAGAGGCGTCGACTTCGAGTCAAGCCCTGGCAAAAAATGTCTGGAAGGTTCCCAGAGAGCCTCCTCGACGTGCCTTGCTGCAAGCCAAGACCCCTGGAGGCGCAGAAGAGTGGGAACAAGAGGGCGGCCTGGAGAGACCCCCAAAGAAGAAGGTCCTGAGCTGGGCTTCGGCCAAGAGTTCTGTCTTCCTGAGGAAGAAGAAGAAGGTGAGCTTGGGCCCCGTCTCATATGTCCTGGTGGATTCCGAAGGTACCACAAGAAAGAAGCTGAGGATCGCAAAGAGAGGCTCGGCCTCCAGGAGGCCAGGGGCCGCTCACAGGGCCCCCCGAGGCCAGCAGCCCACCGAAGCGCCAGCCTCGACGTCCAGGGGTCTGAAGGCCAAGCCAAGAGGCCCTCCTTGCACCTCCAAAGGTGAGGTATCCACAGAAGGTTCTTAGAACCATGATCTTTTTAGGGGTAAGGGTCCAATCCAGTCTCCCCTACCTCCTTTGCTAAGGGCTTAATTGTTCAGAAAGCTCGGGAGGTGGAGATAGAAAGATGTCAGTTTGGAGGTGGGGAGTACTGTTAGCCAGGTCTTAGAAACAACCCAAGTGTTCTTTTACACCCCTGTGATCTGTAGCAAGCAGAGGCAGGAAAATCACAGTCCAGGGCCAGCCATGGGAAAACTGAGATGCTACCTGAAAAAATTAAATTAAAAAAGCAGACCCTCACCACAACGAAAAGGCTGGGGCTCAACAAAGAAGGGCGTGGCTTGGCCTCAGGGGGCGTGGTCCTCAGGCCAGGGCGTGGCTCCGTGGTAAGGAGGCGTGGCTTGCTGATAGAGCCAGATTCAGAGGCAAGGGCGTGGCTCTGTGGTAGGAAGTGTGGCTCAGCTGTAGGGGGTGTGGTTGAGCAGCGAGGGGCGTGGCTCAAGTGTGGAGCATCTGTCTGGCAAGTGGAAGGCCTTGGGTTCAAATCCCAGTACCACCAAAATTACTCCTTCTCCTCCTACTGATGATAATGATGATGATGATGGGGGGGGGGTGAGTTGGGGGCTAGGGTATCAGTACATGGTTTTAAGGGTGATGATTTCTAAATCCTGGTTGAGAGAATGAACGTGTTGCAGGACTCAGAAGCTCCTAGAAGCAACAATTTCCTAAAGACTCCTCTCCCTGGTTCCCCTCTACTCTAATGTATTCACAGGCTCCCAAAAGCTCTGATTTGGGAACCCCCCCATCGCCGAAGAGCTGTGAGAGAGAAGGCCAAGGAGCAAGTCCCAAGAGGAAGCAAACTTCTCTCATCTTTTAACTGCAGCAAGGTTTTGGACTCCCAGGGCCCCGGTTTGTGGATATGGCTGGGGGAGGGAGGGAGGAATTGGGGGAGGGAGGTGTTTCTTGCCTTTTTTTCTCTCTGGGGCTGCTTCTCACCTTTCTTTGCTCACCTTCAGAGCCCAGGAGAGTTGGTAAGTGGCTTGAGAAAATTCTAGAACATTCCTTTCCCTTTATGCATGCATGAGCACAGTCCTCATTCTGCTTCTTCATGCTCAGACTTTCTCCTCCACTTCCTACAGCTTCTGTGGGGCCAGGGTGGGGGAAGGAGGGGTCAGCTGATTTGCAGGGCCTGGCATTTTGAAGGTTGGGGTAACTATTTTCTCCTTTAAATTTCCCTGTTCTCAACCTAGGGGATAAGTTAGGCCAGGACCCTTGGCCCTGCCCTGCTGCCTGCCCAGCCCATGGGCTTCAGTTTCCAGCTTCCATGCCCCAGCTACGGAATCCAGAAAGGGGGGTAGGGTAGGCCCCAAGAATGAATTCTATGAAACGAGGAATGTCTGCTTACCCTTCAAGTATTCAAGTTTCAGAATCAGTCATTAAAAATAGCACTTTTAGCTGGTATGGTAGCAAACACCTGTAATCCCAGCACTTGGGAAGCTGGGGCAGGACAGAGTTGGAGGCTAGCTTGTGCTACAGAGTGAGGTTCCCATATTGGGGGAGAGGGGGAGCTGCGGTACATGGGGAGATGGGCAAGATGATCACATTCTTGGACTCTCAGTTCTAATTGCATCCTATGCCACCAAACTCACCTTCTTGTTGTTTCTGTATATAATTAACAATTCCTGGTGACTCTGAGGAAGGAGAGGAAGACAGGAAGGCATTCGGTTTTATCCTGTGCATGTCCCCCATCGACCCTGGACCTCTCCGCACCTACCCATCCAGGTCCCACCCAGACTCTTCAACTGTGCTGAGCTCAAGTCCTGGATTAAGCCCAGTGCACAATAAGCTCTCCCCGGAGTTTTAGCCCTCGTGATGTTCCAATGTCTCTTTCCTGGTACAAAATGTGAACCCGCGTTAGGTGTCCTTCGTGCTTTCCACTTCTGGATTCTTTGTGACTGTGATGAGTTAGTTCAGCAAATCTTGGGTGAGCCCTGATGCCACAGTCTGGGAAACAAACCCCTGGATGGGATTGGGCTCTAGAGGTGGCAAAAGCCTGGGACAGTCCAGCTGTGAATCCTTGTCCACTCCACCACGCTTTCTTGTGTTCCCAGATACTCACCATGGTTACTTCATGTATATGTATACGTATAAAATAAAGTTCAGCAAAGGAACTCTCTGGTCCAGTTCTTGGATAAGTGGTGGGTATGTGGACTGTTTAACCTAGGGAAAATGGTTTCTTTGTTTATTTACTTGTTTTTAACCCAAGGGGCCATCAGACCATGAGAGAGTGAATTTCAAATAAGAGAAGAAGATATTTGCTGGGCACTGGTGGCTCACACCTGTAATTCTTAGCTACTCAGGAGGCTGAGATTTGAGGATCCTGGTTCAAAGCCAGCTGGGGCAGGAATGTCTGTGTGACTCTGATCTCCAATGAACCACCAGAAAACCAGATGTGGCACTGTGGCTCAAGTGGTAGAGCACTTACCTTGAGCTGAAGAGCTCAGGGACAGCGCCCAAGCCTAGAGTTCAAGAAAGAAAGAAAGAAAAAGGAAAATCACCTTTGTGAATGATCTATGGAGTTGGTGTGTGCATCAATCTTTATTCTTTCTGGAAGGCCACACCATAAAGTTAAGAGCTAGTGAAGTGGGGGCTAAGGGCAGAGAGGGGGGACTGCCATCTCCCTAAATGTCCCTGGCATACATTGTGGTCATCTTTCAGAGGCTGATATGGAGACAGAAGGATGCTTTCACCCTAACACAACAGCAACACTGTACTTTTCTGGGGGGAAAAGGGTGGAGGCTGAGTGTATTTACCACAAACCACATTCACCACTATTTCTTCATGAGCCACATTTTTCTGCATTGCTTGGAAGCGTTTGCTGCCATTCCTGGACAAATATTTGCTCTTTTCCTGAAAGCTTCCTTGTTAGGGAAGGTAGGTTCCCTGCCCTGCTGCTTAGTTTCAATGTTCTTTTTTTTAAAAAATGTGTCTGTATGTCTGCACCCAAAAAATTCTTTTTTTTGGGGGGGGGGTTCCGGTTGTGGGGCCTGAACTCTGGGCCTGGTCACTGTCCCTCAGCTCTTCAGCTCAAGGCTAGTGCTCTACCACTTGAGCCACAGCACCACTTCCAGCTTTTTTCTTTTTGCTTATGTGGTGCTGAGGAATCGAACCCAGGGCCTCAGGCATGCAAGGCAAACACTCTACCACTGAACCACCTTCCCAGCCCCCAAAAAACTCTTAGCAAGTATTTCTGCACAGCCTGGTGTGCGCTGCCCACTTCTCATGACAAGGGGCGCTGGCCCTGCAGACAAGCTCTGGTGCCTGGGTAGAATTCTGCACAAGAAGTCATTTGCCCTGGGAGGAAGGACAGCGACCAATCAGTGGCTTTTCTGCCCTGGGAGGAAAGATGGGACCAATCAGTGACTTTCCTGTGGGGAGGAAGGATGGGGACCAATCAGTGACTTTCCTATCCAGGCTGAGCTGTGCAAGAAGCTGTCACCATAGATTTTTCTTTTATTTTTTTTTGTTGACAGACTGTGGGGCTTGAACTCAGGGCCTGGGAGCTGTCCCTGGGCTTTTCTATTCAAGGATAATGTTCTACCAGTTTGAGCCACAGCTCCACTTTCAGCTTTTAGATGGCTAATTGGACCTAAGAGTTTCACAAACTTTCTTGCCCTGGTTGGTTTTGAACTTCAATCCTCACATGTCAGCCTCCTGAATAGAGAGGATCACAAGTGAGAACTACCAGGGCCTACCTAGCTAGTGATTTTTTAATTTATTATTATTATTTTTTTAATTTTTTGGTCTGTCGTGGGGCCTGAACTCTGGGCCTGGGTGCTGTCCCTCAGCATTTCAGCTCAAGGCTAGCGCTCTACCACGTGAGCCACAGCGCCACTTCCCGCTGTTTCTGCTTATGTGGTGCTGAGGAATTGAACCCAGGGCCTCATGCATGCAAAGCAAGCACTCTACCACTGAGCCACCTTCCCAGCCCCTGATGATTTTTTTTTAAAAAATAGTAAACTAAACAGAGACTGGGGACATGGCTCAGATGATAGAGCACCTACACCAAATGTAAGATCCTATCTGGGGGCTGGGAATGTGGCTTATTGGTAGAAGGCTTGCCTAGCATGCATGAAGCCCTGGGTTCGATCCTTCAGTACCATATAAACAGAAAAAGCCAGAAGTGGCTCTGTGGCTCAAGTGGTAGAGTCTAGCCTTGAGCAAAAAGAAGCTCAAGGATAGTGCCCAGGCCTTGAGTCCAAGCCGGAGAACTGGAAAAAAATTAAAATACAATAAAATAAGACAATAAAAATAAAACCCACCACCACATAGATTTTAGACAACTGTCCATTCTCATAGATCTGGAGTGGGATGTTTTCTTTTGGCGATTCTGAGTGGAACTGCACACTTGTCAGATTACTGGAAGATGGACTGAGCTACAAACGCAGTCTTTTGGCACAGCAGCTATAGGTCCACATTCGCTTGATCTAAACTCTGTTCTGGGTTGAAGGCACCAGCTCACAAGCTCCTGTCACTTACAGGGTCCAAGGAATGCAAGCCACTCACATGCTAGGCCTTGCAGGCCCCTGTGTATGGATTGGCTCTCATGCTTTATTCTAGCAGATTTCCAGTGTTGCTGTTCATACAGTGAGACCTGGGAGCGCACATCCCATAGGCCCAAAGTAGACCACACTGTGCGGGTATAGACAAAGTTTATTGGAATCTCACATGCTTATATATAGGACACAGACATAAAATCTTCAGTCCAGGGGCAGAAAGTTAATCTTAAACAGTTTTACAGGAAGGCAGACAATGAGAGTTAACTTTAAGTCAGTAAGCAAGGAAGAGTTCATCCTTGTCAACGAATGTGAGGTAGCTCCAGTGATCAAAGGTTACAAAGAGTAAGCAATGCACAGGTGGGCTTCCTTCCACACACAAAGGGAGCCTGGAGGCATTGCTCTACAGAATGAATAGGAGGGGCACGAAGGGTACTTTCCACATACCTTCACCTGAGGCTTATGGCTGGGCATCCAGACTTTGGCTCAGACTTGGAAGGGGTGTCCCCCCCACCCCACCCCGGAATGCATGCCAGATGCACCCTCAGGTCACACAAGTCCTCAGATGAGATCACAAGAGTTGAGAAAGCCGGTGCCCCCCTGACATTCCAGCAGGGAATTGGATGCAAGAAAAACTTTATGGAAGGCCTGCAGAAGGAGAAAGAAAGCAGAAGAAAGGAAAAGAATTACTGTGAGCTGGGCGTCAGTAGCTCACACCTGTAATCCCAGCTACCCAGGAGGCTGAGATCTGAAATCCAGATTCAAAGCCAGCCAAGACAGAAAAGTCCGTGAGGTTTTTTTTTTTTTTTTTTGTCGGTTGTGGGCCTGGGCGCTGTCCCTCAGTTCTTCAGCTCAAAGCTAGCGCTCTACCACTTGAGCCACAGCACCACTTCCGGTTTTCTGAGTGGTTTATTGGAGACAAGAGTCTCACAGTCTTTCCTGCCCAGGCTGGCTTGGAATCATGATCCTCAGATCTCAGCCTCCTGAGTAGCTAGGATTACAGGCGTGAGCCACCGGCGCCCGGCTCTAAGAGGTTCTTATCTCCAGTTAACCATCAAAAAATCCAGAAGTGGGGCTGGGAAGGTGGCTCAGTGGTAGAGCGCTTGCCTTGCATGCATGAAGCCCTGGGTTCGATTCCTCAGCACCACATAAGCAAAAAGAAAAAAGCCGGAAGTGGCGCTGTGGCTCAAGTGGTAGAGTGCTAGCCTTGAGCTGAAGAGCTGAGGGACAGCACCCAGGCCCAGAGTTCAGGCCCCACAACCGGACCAAAAAAAAAAAAAAAAAATCCAGAAGTGGAGCTATGGCTTAAGTGGTTGAACACCAACCTTGAGCAAAAGAAACTCAGGGACGGGGCTGGGAAGGTGGCTCAGTGGTAGAGCGCTTGCCTTGCAAGTATAAGGCCCTGGGTTCTATTCCTCAGCACCACATAAGCAAAAAGAAAAAAGCCGGAAGTGGTGCTGTGGCTCAAGTGGTAGAGTGCTAGCCTTGAGCTGAAGAGCTGAGGGACAGCACCCAAGCCCAGAGTTCAGGCCCCACAACCGGACCCAAAAAAAAAAAAAAGAAACTCAGGGACAGTGCCCAGATCTGAGTTCAAGCATCAATACTGCCACAAAAAATTTTAAAAAAGAAGCTGGGTGCCATCTCATGCCTGTAAGCCTAACAACTACTAAGGAGGCTGAGATCTGAGGATCCAGGTTCAAAAGTCCCTGTGAGGCTCTTTCCTTCAATGAACCACCAGAAAGCCGGAAGTGGCGCCGTGCCTCAAGTGTAGAGCACTAGCCTTGAGCACAAAGAGGCTCAGGGACAGCACCCAGACCCCGAGTTCAAGCCCCACAAAGGACGGGGGAAAAAAAAGAATTATTGTCTGAGAACTTCAATGTGTTCTTGTCTTCTAATCCTTTTGTTTTTAGGTTGAAGTGGTTTTCTTTGTTTTTGTTTTGTTTTGTTTTTTGTCAGTCATGAGGTTGAACTGTGGGCCTGGGCGCTGTCCCTCAGCTCTTCAGCTCAAGGCTACCACTCTACCACTTGAGCCACAGCGCCACTCCCAGCTTTTTCTGCTTATGTGGTGCTGAGGAATCGAACCCAGGGCCTCATGCATGTGAGGCAAGCACTCTACCACTGAGCCACTTTTCCAGCCCTGGCTTTTTCTTCTTATGTGGTGTTGAGGAATCAAACCCAAGGCCTCATGCATGCGAGGCAAGCACTCTACCACTGAGCCACCTTCCCAGTCTTAATAAACCTTCTAGTAATCCTCTCCTGTGTCTCCCTGCCTCTGAGTGGTCTCCTGGGATGGATGTAAAGGATCCTTTCAAACAATCTCATGGACTTTCCTGTCCAGGCTGCCTTTGAACTTTGATCCTCAGATCTCAGCCTTCTGAGTAGCTAGGATGACAAATATAAGCCACGGCACCTGGCTTGTATCAGGGATGAGACTGGGCAGAAAAGTTTGAGAGACTCCATTTCCAAAATAACCAGCAATAAACAGGACTGGAAGAGTCACTCAGACAGGAGAGTACCAGCTCATCAAGTAAGCCAAGCAATGGCAAGGTTATGAGTTCAAGTCCTGCTAGTAAAAGAAAGAAAAGAAAGAAAGTGGTTCAAGTGGTAGAATGCTAGTCTTGAGCAAAAGAAAAGAATCTCAGGGACAGCTTCCAGGCTCTGAGTTCAAGCCCCAATACTGGCACAAAATAAGCACATATGCCACTATGAAAGTTAAGCTTAGCTTGGCACCAATAGTTCATACCTGTAATGCTAGCTACTCAGGAGGCTGAGGTCCAAGGATCTCAGTTCAAAGCCTGCATGGGTAAGAAAGTTAATGAGACTTTTTTTTGGTCGTGGGCTTGAACTCGGGCTTGGGTGCTGTCCTTCAGCTCTTCAGCTCAAGGCAAGGCTCTACCACTTGAGTTACAGCCACTTCTGGTTTTCTGGTGGTTAATTAGAGCTCAGAGTCTCACGGACTTTCCTACCCGGGTTGGCTTGGAACTGAGATCCTCAGATCTCAGCCTCCGGAGTAGCTAGGATTATAGGAGTGAGCCACTAGCACTGAGCAAGACTCTTCTCTCTATGGAAGTGGCACTGTGGCTCAAGTAGTAGAGCACTAGCCATGAGGAAAAAAGGCTCAGGGACAGTGGCCAGGTCCTGAGTTCAAGCCCCCGAATTGGCACACACACACACACACACACACACACACACACACAGAGTTACTTCCCTTGATGGCAAATAATGAGACCAGAGTTTTGCAGGAAAGGAGATGAAGGTTCATTAAATTTTTCCAGTCAAAATGAAGACTCGTGAAGCCACTGTTCCCTGTCCTATTGTGGGGGTGAGGGCAAGGGACAGTCCCCAGAGAAAACCTCAGGAGCTCCGGCTCCAGATGCGTGGGCTGAGGCTAGGCAGGGAAGGAGGCCTTGAGCTTGTTCATTTCTTTTGATATTTTGTAGTTCCATTTCCAGAGTTGTTTCTTGCTGTCCCCAAATGTTCCTTCCTGCCAGGGTCAGGGAGATTAGGAGAGCAGCTAGTGACCTTGCCTGGAGCTATAATGACATTTTTGAATTCCCTCTCCGGAGGCGTGGGGGGGCGGGGGGGAAGGGGAGAAGGGTTGGACAGTAGAGAGGAGAAACAAAGCCCGGTGCCAGCCAGTGGCACACATCGGTAATCCTAACTACTCAGGAGGCTAAGATCTGAGGATCATGGTTCCAAGCCAGCTCAGGCAGAAAATCCATGAGACTCATCTCCAATTAACCACCAGAAAACCAGAAGTGACACTATGGTTCAAGTGGGAGAGAGAGAGAGACCTGTATTTTTTGGGGGGGGAGGGGGTCCGATTGTGGGGCTTGAACTCTGGGCCTGGGCGCTGTCCCTCAGCTCTTCAGCTCAAGGCTAGCACTCTACCACTTGAGTCACAGCACCACTTCCGGCTTTTTGCTTTTTGCTTATGTGGTGCTGAGGAATCGAACCCAGGGCCTCAGGCATGCAAGGCAAGTGCTCTACCACTGAGTCACTTCCCAGCCCGAAACCTGTATTTTTAAAACTCACATAGCTGAAAGCATTCTGGTGATTGAGCTCAAACTGCAATCATGGCCCATTTTGGGGTCCGCTCCTATGACAAGAAACCAGCATTCTTTCCCCAACTTTGTCTCTCTGTAGGTTTGCACAGATCTCTTGCACATTCTTGGTTTATTCAAAGGGTGCCGCTTATTTATTTTCTTAACTCTGATGCTCTGATTTTAACCCCATCTTGGGATTTTGCCATGTGAGAGTCCTCAGGGCTGTTCCCTGTAACTCTTTGCACGTGTCCTAAGTTTCTGATGTTCTCAAACTCATCTCCCCATCTTCCATGTCTCCCACCCCCCAGAAATCGATTATTTGCTGAAAGGAGAAGGGTGGGTACATCTGCAGGTGGGAGCTGACCCTTCACCCCCTGAGTGACACCCCTCCTCTCCTCCCACCCCTTGCCCCTGCCCCTCCTTGGACTCTGATTTCCATGCAGCAAGGCCGGCCAATGGCAGAGGCGATGCTCTCCCAGTTGCCATGGAGACCATGCCGGGCTGCAGAGCGGAAGGAGGTGGTGACGTCACTGCAGGAGCAAGTGCAGCCACTACATCCTGGTCTTAAGCCCGGGCCACAGGGCACTGAGAGCAATCTCCAGGCAGTGTGAGGACCGAGCCACCTTGTCTGCCAGGCTATTACCCGCTACACTCTGGTGACAGAAACCCTCGGGGGACCAGATCCCCTGAGCTGTTGGGCAATCAGGGCACTGTGAAGACCTTTAGGAAGCTCCTGTGGAGTGAAGAAACTGAACCTTTACACCATCTCTGGTGTGGCACTGCCCAGAGCCTGGGAGGCACGGATCAGCTTGGCACACATCCACCTCTGCTTCCCTGGCATTCCGTGAGTCCCTGGGAATTCTCCTGAGCACTCTCAGGAGAGACAACTGAAGGCCTAGCATAGTGGCATACCCCTGCGGCCCAGGGGCTCTGAACACCCTTGTCTGAGTTGGACACATTGCTGCCTCTGTGAGGCCTCATTTCTCACCTAGTCTGAGGAAAGAGATCGGGGGGCACGCTGGATCATTCAGGATATTCCCGTGGCACCTCAACTTCCTACCAGAAGGCATACAGGATTCTCAAGGAGCTGGGCAGGATGCTGTTCGGTGTCCAGGACATTGCATTGTTGGAACATGGGTGCAAGGCCTTGGAGGTGGACAGTTACAAGTCCTTGATGATTCTGGGGATCCCAGAAGATTGCAACCACGAGGAATTTGAAGAGATCATACGGGTGCCCCTCAAACCTCTGGGCAAGTTCGAGGTGGCTGGGAAAGCTTTTCTGGAGGAACAGAGAACCAAGGCAGCCATCATTAGGCTGGCCGAGGAGCTGGATCACGACGTGGTGCCCCGGGAGATCCGAGGCAAAGGCGGGGTGTGGAAAGTGGTCTTCATGCCCCCGAGGCAGGACATTGAATTCCTGACCAAGCTCAACCTGTTTCTGCAGAGTGAGGGGAGGACTGTGGAAGACGTGGCCAGGGTCCTGAGGCAGGAGCTGTGCCCCACGGTGACCGATCTCAGGCAGCCGCCCCCAGCAAGGCAGTGCTGCCCACCACTGCCGCCTCGTGCCAGCCCAGAAGCTGGGGCCACCGCCAGGGTGGACGAGGGGGAAAAGGACAGCAAGGCCGGAGAATGCAGGAGGAACAAGAAGAAACCTAAGAAGAACCGTCGTCGGCACCAGGCCACTGACAAGAAGCAGTGAGGTGATACGGGGTGGGGTAGGGGAGGGGAGAGACTTGGAGGGGGAGCCATCTGCATGGCTGTGGGAGGATGGGAGTGAGTGCGGTGGAATGCGTGAAGGGTGGGCCTCCCTCCAGGGAGTGGGAGAATGGCCTCGCGGAGTGGGGGGGGGGGAGGCTGAGCGGGTGGGAATGAGGTTGGGTGTTTTCATCTGAGCTTAGGAACTTGTGCGGGAGAGCTGAGTGCAGGTGGTCATCCTGGGGGTGAGTGTGGGGCCCCCCTTCCTTCTTTCCTTCCCTCTGTAGTGATTACTTATTGCCCTGCCAATCTAATTTTTTTTAAATCCCTGCTTTTGACATAAGTGGTCATGATTATGTCATTTGGAGGTACTGGTTGAGTCAATGTAGGTAAGAGCAAGCACATCTGATTGAGTAGGGGTGTCCATCTGCCATCCCTCCATCATCCATCCCTCCATCATCCATCATCCATTCTTCCATCAATTCCCCCCCCCCGTCCATCCATCATCTATCTTTCCATCCATCCATCCATCCATCCATCCATCCATCCATCCGTCCGTCCGTCCACCCACCCACCCCATCCATCATTTCCTGAAATACATACAAGGTGCCAGGCTCTGACAATTCAGCAGGGAAGAAACCAAACCCGAGGCTGGCTCTCGAGGCCACCATATCCAACACCTGTGCTAGCACAGGTGTCCTTCGCGTTACCTGCACGCACGTGACGGAGCCTTGGGCACTAGGGCACAACCACTGGGGACAGAGCTGGGTAATAATGTCAGGATTTGTGGGGAGCACTTGAGAGCCTCCAGGCCTCCCCCAGCCCCAGAGTGTGTGCGTGGTGGTAGTTGAGGGAGTACAGGTCCCGTGTCAGCGAGGACGGAGTCCCAAAGACCCCACAGCAGCTGCTCACCTGGAGACACTCCCCGGCCCCGCCGCCGCCGGGAGCCACCGCGCAGCCGCAGTGGGAAACCGAGGCCGCCTGATCACGCATGCGCGCGCGTCTGGCTGTTGCCATGGAGGCCTCTGCCCCGCGCAGGCGCAGATGGAAACCGAGGCGGAGGCTCAGGTCGCGGGGTTTTGCAGGTCTCTCTTCAGAGGCGCGGAGAAGCAGAGCGGGGCCTGGCTTGGGGAGACAGCCCCGCAGGCCCCACGGCGAGGGGGATCCAGTCCTCCAGGGACACCTGTGGGGTCAGTCACCCCTGCCAGGCCCCCCTGCTTTGCAAAGGAGACGCCCAGGCCAGGGCTGACCAGTGGGCAGCGCGCCCACCTGCTCCGAGCGACGCCATAAACCAGATGCTGTGTTCCGCACAACCCTGCAAAAGCCATCAGCTTGTGGGTGGGGAGTGCGGGGGAGGGTACAAGTGTTCCTGCCCAGACTGGCATCCGGGGTGACATGTGGGTCTCCCCCAGATTAAATCAGAGAAATCCTAACTGGGGCCAGAAGGAAGGGAGAGGTGTTATGTTCATTCTACTCTCTGAAGAACGAAAGACACCGGGCGCTGGTCGTCACGCCTGTAATCCCAGCTGCTCAGGAGGCTGAGATCTGAGGGTCGAGATCAGAAGCCAACCCGGCAAAGTCTGTGAGACTCCTGTCTTCAATAAACTACCAAAAAAAGTCGGATGTGGAGTTGCGCCTCAAGTGGTAGAGTGCTAGCCCTGAGCAAAAGCAGCTCAGGGACAGCACTCAGGCCCTGAGTTCAAGCCCCAGGATGGGCAAAAGAAAAAAAAAAAGAAGAAGAAGAAGGAAAAGACAGCCAGGTGCTGGTGTCATTTCTGTAATCCCAGCCTCTCAGGAGGTTGAGATCTGAGGATCATGGTTTAAAGCCAGCCCAGACAGGAAAGTGTGAGACTCTTATCTCCAGTTAACCACCAAAAAGCCAGAAGTTGGAGGTGTGACTCAAGTGGGAGAGCGCCAGCCTGGAGTAAGGGAACTCAGGCCCTGAGTTCAAGCCCACATGCAGTGGGGGAGGTCTGGTGCGCATGCGTGTGCCAGCGGCAGGTGCAGGCAGACAGCCCCCTGCCTGCCCCCCCCCCCCCAGCTGTCCTCACATGGAAGGAATTTTTCTGGTTCAGTTGGTTGGAAAGACCTAACGATTCTGCCTTGAGTCAGTTTCCCAAGCTGGCTGGCAATGCCTCTTCCTCCACATGTTCTGGTTTTGTGCAACTACTTGATCAAGCTTTTCCTGAAACCCTCCTACCCCCATACATCTGAACTTTTTGCCAAAAACAAAGTCAAGAAGTTTGTAGCTCTCTTATTGATCTTTCTGGACCTTGTAAATTCTCAGCCCTGGGCAGACCACACACAGAGAACATTCTGGTACTGTGCGTCTTGTTCTGACCCTGTCTGATTCGGCTTCACAGGCACACAGCGTTCTACCCTCCCCGCCCACCTGGCATATTTGCTTGTTGCATGAAATTCCCCCTTCAAGGCAACTTTGGTGTCTAATAAGGGACAATGTGACATTTCTTATCCCATTACAACAGGACACAGAGTTTTTCCTTAGGGCAGCCTTTGGTGTATCTACTTGTGAGACTTGACATGAATAGTTTTAGATATTATCTATGGAACTGAATAACCCACCACTTCCTGTTGGAGAACTTTCTGAGCCAGTGGAAGTTTCCAGGCGGATTGCAGTGGGTGGGCACGCGCAGGGGATTGTGTAAAAAGTTATCAGTTGAAAAGTGACTCCCCTGAGTGAAAGTGTCACTAGTACAGCAAATGTCCAGTAAAAATGTACAAGTAAATTGGATGTGCTGGCCAGCCGGGTGTGGTGGTACATGCCTGTAATCCCTGCTACTCTGAAGGCCTTAAAGTCTTGAAGGCCAACCAGGGTAACGTTACTGAGGAGACTGTCTTAAGAACAAAAGGACTGGGATTGGGGTTTAAGGGGAAGAGCACTTGCCATGCAAGTGTGAGGTCCTGGGTTCCGTCCCCAGCGCTGAGAAAGGAGAAAGGCTGGGACTGGTTTTCATAGCCTTCCATTTTGATTTTGGAAGTGGGTTTGGCTGCAGCTCTTCTTGTTCCTTGTGGTTGGTGTTCTACTGTGTAAATATAAATGGACACAATAAATGTATGCTGATGAACCCGTGGCCTGTTCATTACTGTATTGGGGAAGGGAGTGTGGGGAGGAACTCCATCTCAAATTTAATTCAGAAACATAGTCTGTCTGGTAAAACATGTTTTAAACACCATTTCTAAGGGTCTGAAGCATTCTTAAGTGGCAAAATGGGTAGAATCAGGTCTGGTGTGGTCGCTCCTGCCTGTAGTTTCAGCTGCTCAGGAGGCAGAAATATGGAGGATGAGCCAGGCACCGGTGGCTCAGGCCTGTAATTGTAGCTACGCAGGAGACTGAGATCTGAGCATCATGGTTTGAAGCCAACCTGAGCAGAAAAGTCCCCCATGAAACTCTTATCTACGATTAACCACTCAAAAACTGGAAGTAGCGCTGTGTCTCAAGTGGTATAGCGCTAGCCTTCAGCACAAAGAGGTTCAGGGACAGCGCCAGGCCCAGAGGAGGGGGAGAGGGGGAGGAGGAGGAGGAGGAGGAGAGGGAGGAGGAAGAGGAGGAAGAGAAGGAGGAGGAGGAGAGGGAGGAGGAGGAGGAGGTGGACAGGGGGAGGAGGAGGAGGAGAGGGGGAGGAGGAGGAAAAAGAGGAGGAGGAGGAGGAAGAGGAGGAGGAGGAGGAGGCTCATGCCCGTAATCCTATCCACCTCCTCCTGCTGGCCCAGCCCCAGAGCAAGCCGTATGGTCCAGAATAGGACAAAGGTGGCCCCTGATAGGAAGTGCTAGAGAGGCTTTGGGTGTTTGGACAGATGCCTCCCGGAGTTTTAGAGAAGCTCTAGTGTCTCCAGAGGGAGAGATATGTCCTGCCTAGGCCATCTTGCCTGAGTAGGCTCCAGCAGAGGTTGGGTCCCGCATGGAGTCACCTTGCTGGGGAGGGCTCCCTATGGGTCTCTGCTGCCCCAGGCTGGCCCTCCACCAACGCTCAGTCAATAGGGCTAGGAGTCATTTAATAGCCGTGGTGTCTGCCCTCCACTATACCAAGACAGTGAAGACCAGCCACGAAGTCAAATAGCTCAGGGTATTTAAAGGCAAGATCCAATGGGGGCTGAGGGTGGGGGGCACTCACAGGTGGCCAGTGGTAGTTTCGAGATTGGCAAAGATGCAAGTTACAGAAGCAAGGCTAGCCGGTTGCCAGTGGCTCACACCTGTCATCCTAGCTACTCAGGAGGCTGAGATCTGAGGATCAGGGTTCAAAGCCAGTCCAGGCAGGAAAGACCTTGAGACTTATCTCCAACAAACCACCAGAAAACCGGAAGTGGCGCTGTGGCTCAAGTGGTAGAGCGCTTGCCTTGAGCTGAAGAGCTGAGGGACAGCACCCAGGTCCAGAGTTCAAGCCCCATGACTGACCAAAAAAAAGAAAAAGAAAAGCAGGGCTAGCCCTTACAAAATGGTGATGACAATTCCAGTCATTCCAATAACCAAGGCCATATGTCACAAGGCAAAGTCCTTACCCCAAATCTTCCCATCAAAGAAGCAAGTTAGTATAACAGTAATTACAGTCTCTATATGCAAAGTAATAAAAGTCCTTGAAGCAAAAACCACATTCCAAATTTCTTACCACCTTCCAGGTTTTCTAGCTCTTTCTGAGTTTCACTGTTATCTACGGAATCCCAGTAACCTGTTGTTTAACTTATTAGTTTACTTCAAACCTTTATCTTTGGAATTTTCCTTTTAATGACTAACCTGGAGTTAGTTTCTTTCTTTCTTTCTTTCTTTCTTTCTGTCGTGGAGCTTGAACTCTGGGCCTGGGCGCTGTCCCTGCGCTCTTCAGCTCAAGGCGAGCGCTCTACCACTTGAGCCACAGCGTCACTTTCGGTTTCCTAGCGGTTTATTGGAGATAAGAGTCTCACGGAGTTTCCTGCCCAGGCTGGCTTTGAACCGTGATCCTCAGATCTCAGCCTCCTAAGTAGCTAGGATTACAGGCGTGAGCCACCAGCCCCTGGCTTAACCTGGAGTTTCTATAAGGAGATTCTGCCTTTCAAGTTTGGCCTTTTCTTACCCACTTCGCAAATTTCAGTAAATGCTAGGCTGCAGTTTGTCCCATTCCTAGGGTCTGTATCTATGTTTCTCAGGTTACCTGGGACTTGTTTGTCCCAGTTAAATTTCATTCAAATTTCATTCTCTCTTGGTTTACTTAATAGTCTGTTTAATGTAACGTGACTCTAACAATATCAGTATTCCATAATATTCACTACACTACCAGTTTGAGCCACAACACCAATTCTGGTTTGTTTTCTGGTGGTTCATTAGAGATAAGAGTCTCATGGACTTTCCTGCCTGGACTGGCTTTGAACCTTGATCCTCAGATCTCAGCCACATGAGTAGCTGGGATGACAGGCGTGAGCCACTAGCAGCCAGTTTATTATTATTATTTATTCTCATTATTATTAATTTTTTTGCCAGTCATGAGGCTTGAACTCAGGTCTGGGCACTGTCCCTGAGCTCAAGGCTAGCACTCTACCACTTGAGCCACAGCGCCACTTCAGCCTTTGTCTGCTTATGCAATGCTGAGGAATCGAACTCAGGGCCTCATGAATGCAAGGTAAGCACTCTACCACTGAGCCACTTTCCCAGGCTCCCCCCAGCCTGTTTTTAATTGCCAAACCTGGCTGGAGGGATTTCAGCCATGTTTTCTCTTCTGCATTCTTTTCTGATTTCTAGTTTTTCTTCTGTGCTTCTGGGACTTGCAGGGAGGCTGGTTTTGGAGTTGAAGCTTAGGCCAAGAAAGTATCAGCATCGTCCTCTGGACTGGGCCCAGACCCCTCTGCATCCCTGGTTGCTATGGAGACACATGATCTGCAGAGGGAGGCCTGGGCTCAGTCACCCGGATGAGGCCTGAAGGAGGAGGGAAAGTCTGCTGAAGGTTAATGACCAGCTCTGAAAAAGCACAAACAACCCCACCCCAAATCCTCGCCAGGGCCCGGGCTGAGCCCCCAGCTGCTCTCCACTCCCACGCCATCCCCCCCCCTTTTCCCTCTTCTCTTCCTTCTCTCTGTCTAAACATCTTCCCCAAAACCATAAAAATCTCCCCTCAGAAGCCAAATACAATTTCATGGTCATTTTTATTCTGGTGCAAAAGTCCTGCATTCACTTGTTTTTTTTGTTTTGTTTTGTTTTTGTGAGTGAAATATCCCAGCTTCCTGGGGCCAGTGGGACTTGAACCCACAATCACACAATCAGGGAAACCCACAATCACACAATCAGGGAAAGGAGTCACCAACAGTCAGTCAATAAGGATAGGAATTGTTTATTAGTCATGGCATCTGACTCCACTATCGAGACAGTGAAGACCAGCCTTGAAGTCAACTAGCTCAGGGTCTTTAGAGGCAAGATCTGGGTTGGGAAGGTAGCTTAGTGCTTGCCTGGCATGCATGAAGCCCTGGGTTTGATTCTTCTGGAAATGACGCTGTGGCTCAAGTGCTAGAACATTAGTCTTAAGCAAAAAGAAGACAGTGCTCAGGCCCTGAGTTCAAGCCCCAGGACTGGCAAAAAAAGAAAGAAAAAAGGCAAGATCCATTGAGGGGCACTAGCAGGTGGTCAGTGGCAGTTTTGTAGTCTACAAGCAAGGTACAAAAGCAGAACAAACGTTGATTACAATTCCGGTAATCAAGGCAGTAAGTCCTCAAAGCAAAGTAAGGTGGCTGAGCACAATTTCCTATAGACAGCCAGGTGCCTAGACAGGAGGTGGGGACTGGGCACCCAGCTCCTTCAAGGCCTGGGGGTGGGGCAAGCCTCCCTTTGAAGTGCAGATACCTGGCTCAGTGAGGTGTGAGCTGGGAGGGAAAGGCATTAGTCTTAAAACATCACCTCCCAAAACGCTGAGAGCATAGATTAGCTCCTCAATTGGCCCAGAGGTGAGAGAAGCCATCTTTACAAATGAAAATACTTCGCTGCACCATCCCCCCCCTCCCCCCACTTAATTCATCACTCAGGCCTTTATCTTTGAAATTTAACATTTGGCCCTATTCTTAATCAATACAAAGGGTCAAGTTTCACTAACTGTCAGATTGCAATCTTGTTCTATTCCCAGGGTCTGTAATTTACCTTTCTCAGGTTACCTGGGACTTGTTTGTCCCAGTTAACTTTACTTTTTCCTTGGTCTAGTCAATATCCTATCTGCTTAATTTGACCTGGTCCTAACAATTTCACATTTTACACTCTTTCTTGTGGGGGAGAGAGATCATAGCAGTGAGGTTGAAAATAATGTTTTGTTTTTTTGATTCAGTCATGGGGCCTGAACTCTTGGCCTGGGCACTGTCCCTCAGTTCTTCAGCTCAAGGCTAGTGCTCTACCACTTGAGCCACAGCTCCACTTCTGGCTTTTTTCTTTTTGCTTATGTGGTGCTGAGGAATCGAACCCAAGGCCTCAGGCATGCAAGGCAAGCGCTCTACCACTGAGCCACCTTCCCAGCCCTCCTTCTTATTACCAGAAAACCGGAAGTGGTGCTGTGGCTCTGCTAAATGAGCCTGCCATTCTCACCCAGAACTTCCCTACCACAAAAAACATAGAACCAAAAATACACCAAAGTAAGCAAGACAGACAAGTGGCCACAAAGCCAAAATCAGGTCTCAGTGAATGGGGCAATATCTCACCAACATTTACAAGTGGGACTCAAATCCATTTTATCAGGGGACTCAAACTCTCTCTACTCACCTCCAGAGGATTTTTTTTCTTTTAGATTCCTGCAAAAGTTGACCCAGGGGCCTTCAAGGGTGGAAGAGAATTCCCAGTCATCT